GTTAGCCCAAGTTAAAGTTAATCTTATTGATAGAAGTGGATATTATTAAATTTTTGGAGAACAGTTTGTTCTCTAAATATAAAAAAAAGTCAATTTGATTTTTTATACATCATTTATTGCTATTTTTTAACCAATACTTAAATTAGATTCGGTAATCGTCTTTTGAATTTTGCGCCAGGTGTAATTTGACTAATCTGTTTGCCACCTTCCGGCCAAACGCGCGGGAGAAATACACAAATCGAATCAAATCCTGTAGTTCAATTAACGACAAGCCACCGTTCCTTGATAATATTGATAATAATATATTCAGTAATAATACATAATTCCTAAAAGTTATATTTTCGAAATGTCTCGCGCTTGGATTATATACTTTCGGATAATTAATTGCATCCTTTTTAACTATTAATTTGACTCGCGTTGTAGCGCGCATATTATATTGGGGTGAAGTTGCCGTCAATTTCGTAATAAATTTTCCGTTGTCGTTAATGGACTGTTGTAACGTTAGCCGCGGCATCGCGGCGCGTCGTGAAGTAGTAAGTATGTAATCGTGAACATCGTAAAAATCGTAAATATTAATAATCGTATAATGTGGAGAGATCCAGGATCTATCCTTCGTTCCTATCGATGATTCGTTAAAACGCATATTTCGCGAGATTCGTTCGATCGAGAACCGTTACGCGAATGCGTTGATCGATGGAGACGCGACGTTGTCAGATACCGTATATTTCGCGGATATTTAGTCGTGCTTTTAATTCGTACATTTATTTATGCTACTCGTGTTATTTACTCATTAGATTGTAATTTGTATATATGATAATTGTTCTAAAACATAAGCGATGTATTGTGACGAAAAGTGCGGAAAGTGCGTAAAGTGCTGCCGGGGACAATAAGTGTAGCATCGTGTGACGATGATCGTCCTTGACGCATGAAGTTGGCCGCGAGATCTACGATTTGGCGCCTCCGCCATATTAACCCGTTGCGTCTATTCGTGCGGCATCGCGGATCGTATCTTGTCAGCATTATTTTTTCACCGCGACCTCGTAAAGTGCGCGTTGCGTGTGATTGTCAGAAATGCTGTGTGGAGTAAGTATTGTATACATACGAGTGTCATATTTTACCAATCAGCGAGATTGCGTCTCGCTGATTGGCAAAATAACCGTTTTTGCGAGGGAATATTGTTAATATCATATCCTCTAGAATTTCGCGCAAGTGCCAGGAAGTGAAGGAATTCAGCAAGGCGTTGAAGGGACAGCGACGGAGATGCTGTGAGAGAAGAAGAGGCCAGAGAGGCACCAGTGGAACAATTGTACGGTTAGTGTAATTATTATTTATTTGTTGATTTAGAAATGGAATTGTGTAGTTAAAGAAAAAGATGCTCTTATAAAAGAAGACGTCTCATTGTTTTCATTTTTTAAAAATTAAATTGATTAGAGCGAGAGAGAGAGAGAGAGAGAGGAGGGAGGGGTGAGAGAGTGAAAGAGCCTCCCCCCGGGCAGGGAGAAAAGAAAAGGAAGATAGAAAGAGGAAGAAAGATAATGTGTAAGAAAACTGAACAAGATTGAATTGAACAAACGCTCAATCAATGTTTTTTGGAATTTGACTATTTATTATTCAGTGGTGGATATTATCATTTTAAAGATTTTTGAGCGCGCCTTTTCATAATGCCTTGCTATTGACAATGAAAGAATTTGCCATCGAATGCAATATATCGCATTGGTAGTGTGAATGAGCGACAGTTTCGTCAAATGAACTCCGTGCGACTGTAGTGTTATTTGTCCGATGAATCTATCACGGATTATTGCCTGGTTTATGCTTCGATCTTAACCCTAAGACCCTAAAATTCAGTCAATGGAATACAGATTTCGATTAGGACTGGCAATATAATTGGCTGAATTTTAGAATTTTAGGATTAAGACTCAAAGCATAAATCCAGCCATATATAGATAACTTGATCGAACACATAATATCGAATACATAATATAGTAATTAATAGTGATTTCAATTATTTTTTGCACAGTAACATTCTTTTAAAATTAAATATCCGTTTGTGAAATATGATAAAGATATTAGTGTGCATGATAATTATTTTTTAAGATATTATTGAGACACTTTTAATTTATATATATTTGTATGTTACAGGTTAATGTATAATTACTATTCTGCTGCTGCGCGTCTTGTGCTGGTGAGTTAAATTATTTTTTATTTCATTCTACACTGTTAAATCTATAGTGTCAAATTTAACTTAGTGTGAGACGCCACTGCTCCTACTAAATATATAATTATCGTATTAGTAAAAAATTAACACGATATAGTGTCAAATTTAATTATCATATTGGTAAAAAATAACTATATATTTAGTAGGAGCAGTGGCGACTCACACTAAGTTAAATTTGACACTATAGATTTAACAGTGTATAATGAAGTTATAATAAAATGTATATATAAGATGTACGTATAAGACATGAATATCATAAAACAATTGCAAAGAATTTAGTCTTTTTCTGGTGATCGTTTAGCCAGATTATTTAATATCTTAATACATGTATATTTTATATACTTTGAGTCCTCATATACTTCTAATCACAATAGGTATAAAATTATACATATAAATTACAAATTGTAGAATTACAAAATAATACTTACAGAACATCTAAAGTAGCTCTTAGTAGTTTCTTGGGGATATAAATTAGACTTGTATTTTGTAAATTGAATATGACTGAATTAAATGAATGTTCGATATAAACAATATTTTTTTAGAATTTGACTATTTGAATTGTTTTCATTTCAATTATATGGCATTATTAATCTGCAATTACGTAGCAATATGTGTGCAGAACGATAGTATTGACGCATCAAAAATAGAAACAATTTAAATTGGTATATCAAAATAAAAACAATATAAATAATTTAATTCAAAGATTCTATGTTAAGCAAATATTTCGCGTTTCTATGTTAGTATATTTCAAAATTTTATCTTTTCGTTGGATCATTAAAAAATTCTTACTTGGTCTACTCTCTAAAACCTTTGGAATGGAATTTAAAGTGTAAAATCTCACTCTTAAAAATTGACATTGGAGCCATTCTTTTTCGACATTGACTCAACTGTCACTCTTTGACACTTTTTAGAATTAGATTCCACTTTAAAGATTTTAGAGAGTAAATGGAGATAATTACATATAATTGAGAATTAAGAAATCTCATTGTTATAAGACATCCCGTCTTGTGACAAATTTTTCTGATCTCCATGTTATGCTAGCTATTTTGTTCGACTGTTAATTTTATTGTGTGAGTAAAACTCTTTTGGCGTGACGCAACATCCATAGCAATCGAGAATTGATTGCGAATGACAATAATTTTGCAGTCTCTACAAAACCTATACACGGTTCTCGAATAGAGAAAATTTATTGTCTCTATTCTAGAGAAAAAAAATATCGATTGTTCTGTATTGTAATTAAACTATTTATAAAGTATGATCAGTGACTGTTGTAAAAAATAAGAATGACATATTTCATTAGTTTCGCCTTGGACATTAAGGAACATGTGTATGAAACAATAAGATTGCTACGTTTTCCTGAAACGTAAAATAAATATTTTATTAAATCAGTTGTTATGATATTTATAAGATTTCTTAGCAATTATAGTTCGCTCTTTAATTCTTAATAATTAAAAGAGCACGTATAATTTCATCAGTATTTATCTCAAGAAGATTTAATATTTTTTTCTGCTATTTTCCTTTCATCTTCATGGCAAGATATAATTTGATTATCTCTATGAAGATTTTAATTTAACTTACTTTCAGTATAATCAATGTATATCGATTATTTATTTCGTTGTTTTTTGATTCTTTCTTACACATGATTTTAAGCAGAATATGTATATTCATGTTTATGCTACATTTATATATATAAGTGTATTTAGTTCTATATGTGTATGTATATACACGTTTATTCGCAATATTTACAGTAATTAGTACGGCGTTTAAATACATATAGGTACACTTTATTAAATAATAACAATGTTTTAAAAATCGGCGCATCTGATATTCTCAAACGCAAATCGTAACACGAGGAATGGACAACGATGTTTACAATTGCGCGTACCATTCCTAATAGCGTTAAAAGCGTGCAGAAGACAGTACGACATATTGTTGATTCACTTTTTCAAGCTGCGTAATGGCTACATCTCTAGTTTCTGTGACACGTGCATTTTTACAATGAATGAAAAAGGACATGGAATTATGTGTATACGGTTAACATTGTGGCTTAGGCTTTCTTGTGGATCACATGGTACATCGTTGCCATTATTTAGGCTCGCTATACGCTGTTGACTTGCCTATATTTGTTAGATGTGACTCAATGTGATCGTTGTTATCACAAAATATATCGAGTCAAATAATCTATATATACTTAACTATCTATATACTTAATTATACTTTAAAAATATCCGCAATAATTTATTTGATATCTTCTCACATGATCAACAACGATCCGTTTAAGTCACATCTAAGCGCGAAACGGTCGCAACTGCAGAAAAATGCCAATGTATAATACTTAAACAATTTTTTGAAAACGGCTTGTTATGTGTGTGATTAGAAATTTTTCATAAATTTATAAAACTTATTCCATTAGAATATACATATATATATTATCATGCATAAAAAATTGTTATATATGTAATAATTACATAAAATATACATTTATAGTAATTATATACATATAATTACTATATTATATATATTATAAAATATATATTATATATATTATATATACATATAATATACATATTTTTTACAAAAACGCTATATGTTTTTGATATTCGAAAATACATAGACTTTAATTGTCCTCAAATTTGTTATTAAAAATTTTATTATTCAGTACATTTTTGAAATTTTATGTAAATTATTAAATTTACTAATAGTACCATCAGAATGTAACGAGTTTTATTTGAAATTTGCATATCAATAGTTTTATGATTATTTTATTATTAAAAAAATGATCGATTAAGTGCCTTCAACGTCAACTATTTCAGATTATAATACATGCAAATAATTCTTGTAACTTACGTATGCATACAAACGAGACGTTGCTGTTTGACAAAGTCGGTTTGTAAAACGAATGTAAATTGATGTAAATTGCAAAACTTATTCGCACTCTTTTATTCACTTATTCACTTTTTCATGATTCAATATAGTATTGAGTGATTTTAGTGCACGTTACGAGATCTTCGTATTACTATAAATATTTCGGCATCAAACAGCAGTTGCGATTGCCAGGCTCCTATTCTTGTACCGAGATGCCCCGCTCTGTTTTGTTAGAATAACCAAAATCCGCGATGCAGTCTTGAGGTGTTCTCCTGGACAATTGCACTCACTCTAAGTCGTGGTCACGCTGCAGGCAGCGGATCGACTTGGAGATCGTTTTGCGCTGATGCGCCGTGCTCCGTCAAGTGTTGACGGCTTGCCTGATGAACAGGTACTCCGAGAATTGTTGACCTTCTACGCCGCCGCCGTTGCTTGCCACCACCCGGAAACCGGCATTCAGCAGTCTGGTGATCGCCTGAACGGAGTTCAATTTGCAGTAGCCGTTTAGTGGAAACCGTATGACATGACGGGCATCCTGTTGGTGCCAAGCAACGCCGGATCGCGCATCGATCACCGCCTGTGTCGTTTCCGGAAACACCTCGTCCAGTAACGCCCGTCCTCCTGACAGCATCACCCGCTCGCCCAGGTCCGGGCTCACGTGTAACGCTACGCACTCGTAGCTGCAGTTGCCATCATTGCCGCGCATCTTCTCAAAATCACGATTGCAAGGCGCCGTAGTGCAGGCAGTGCCGCGACCACCGAGCTGACCAGAGGGCGGAGGACTTGGCGAAGTTGTTGTCATTGTCGAACCGTTCTTTATACGCTCCTTCTTCATTTGCTCTAATTGCCTACACATAGCTGAAATAAAAAAAGATGCGTTATATTCGAGCAAAATGTTCTAACGCGACAAAATGATTTTGTTTTAATAATGATTTCGTAAATAGTGACAGTTTGCTACATTGATAACTAGGTCGTGGGAGCTCATGAAATTTCGTTTCTATTGACAATAGGGAGTTTTTGTAATAACGTGAATCCAGATACGCTAAGGTCACGTTATCCTTTTCTTAATTAATTGTTAAGAAGAAGATAATCTGACCTTAGCGTTCATCGTATCTGGATAAATGGTATTATAAAAACTTCTTAATATTATAGTCTTCTTTTCGTTAAAAGGATTATTAAATGGGTTTAATAAATTATTAAAGTGTTTGAGGAAATTTTGAACGTAAAATGCGATTTTTTTCGAAACGCGAAATGTACACGGAGAAAATTTTCTTTTAAAATTTACTCTGAAAATATGGTAGTTGTGATACAATACAATATTTTAAAGATTTTTACCATGCACTTCAGTAAAATTGATCAAACTTATTTTATATTTCCTTATAGTTTTATTAATGAATGAGAGAGATTTACATTAAAATTCTTCGAAATACAATGTTGTCCCACGATTGTCATATTTTCAGGGTAAATTCTAAGAAAAAATTCTCTCCGTTTACATACTGATTAGTATCCCGAGGAAGTATATTTTATTGTCTTATTTTTTAACTTTTCTAGTACTCAGAATTCTGTATTATTCCTGCAATCGAGTAAACAACTACTTTAGAGTTTGTTATTACTATTCCATTATAGTTGAGCATTGCACATAGACAGTTTGGAAGTCGGTCAAGAGAATTAGAAGAGAAATGATATATCGTTATATCGCGATTTATATTAAGAACGCGAAAGGCAAATTCATTATCTCCGTTTTATCATGCGATTGAAATCATGATTTCCGTATCTTTCTCGCGCGTAAACAATTCAATTACGGGTGTTAAAGTAAAAAAAGCACAAGAAATGAAATTAAAGAAATTTACGCGCAATATCAAAGTATCGTGCTTCCTCCAGCAGCAAATCTAGGTCGGCAAAGTTGTCGGGTATCAGCAGCCGGGAATTTCGCATAAAATTCAATATGTGCCGGAACATGCCGCCGTCTCTATCGATGAAATAGTGTTGTTTTAACGAGTCCAGAACGATGGGGATGCTGCCGTTAAACAATTTCGCTAGCCTGGATTCTGGGTATCTGGAAAAAAATCACAAGATTTTTTAAAAATAAGATTGTCATGAAACAATGACAAAATAAACGGTAGTAGCCAAAATAAACAAGCATAAAATAGATGACTAATTTTATTAAAATTGAAGTTATTCTCTAACATATACTAATTCGAAGATTGTCATGTGTGAAAGTTGTAATTTTTATAACTTATGAGCATTAATCATTGATTGAAAGTGCGTGTGAGAAAATTTCGAGAAAGTATTATCGCGTTTGATTCATGAGACTTCAACTTCGAAATTGTTACGTGACTGATGCATACGTAATCATAATTGATATTATTTATAAAAATTGATCTGATATCTGAAGTTAAGAATTTGATGTGTACACGGATTGTATATTTAATGTCATGAAAATTACACTTTCTATCAACTAACAGCTAACTAAGTGTTGGACAGGTGCTGACACTTTGGTCACCTGCCAAAACCGCTTCAGGTAGCTGCGTGCTGTTTTCGCGATTGATGGTTGCGTACAAGCAGCTGTTCATTTAATAAATTCCGACTTGACGCACTGACTGAATTAAGTTTGAGCAGTAAGTTATAGTTATTATGAGAGCTCAAGAAGTGAATCATGATAACGTTATCTTACATAATTTGATTAAACGCCTTCTTGAACCAAAAATACATGTATATTCAGATTTTTTAAAATAAATATTTAAAAAATCTGAATATGTGAAATACTCGAAAAATATGAATTGAATATTGTGGGATATTTGAAAAGTAGGAATTGAATATCTGCGTGGATAAAAACGCAAATGTAGGACAAAAATGACATTTCCAATCAGAAAAAAATTCAACCATTAATAAAATCCATTAGCTGATCATTTATCGGAAGGTTTCAATTTAATTCAGTTTAATTAAAAAAATCGTTCATTATTGAAAGAAAACAACGAAATATAGAAAAGAAATATAGAGAAGAATTGAATTGGGAATTTGTTACGCGTGAATGAGGACAGAACGGTGGGATCGTAAAGACAGCGCAAGATACGCGCATGAAATCTACTTTAGCAGATATGCAGATGCATGTGTGTGTATGTTTCTCGAAGTAGCAAGTCCATGCACCGTATGTATCACTTTTTCCGGCTTCTTTAGAAAGTGCCCGTGACATTTTCGAACGCGTTTCACAACATGTTCGCGAATGCTGCATCGTTCAAAGTAGGCTGCAGCTAATCTTCTTATTACATATCTTTGCGCTCCACCGTTGCCATTACGATATCCCTTCCGAGCTTCGCAATTACATCTCGAAGATAATAAGAATAATGTAACGTTTCGTTACGCATTTAATCTCGCTATAAATTAAAGTTATGGAATTATAGAAAAGAGAAGCTCTGACAAGGAAAAATTATAATTCTTATTCTTTTATGTAGCGAGATGAATTTAATTAAGTGTCTTAAGGATTTGATTATTAGTAATGATATGGAATATCATAATTGTACGTTTCCGAGGAAAAATGTATACTAGGTAATTAGGTATATTTCTGATCTCCTTATGTGCAATTTTTTTAAATGTACACCTTATTTAGTTCTTATATCAATTTGATAATGAGAAATTGTTTTGTCTTATAATATTTCACTTTATTAATTTGTCTTATAATATTTCACTTTATTAATCTGGATTTTATTAGCGCTTATTAGTCTAACATTAATGATGAAAAATGATTAACTTCTTATTTCTTCGACATAATATTTGACATAATTTTTATATAAAGTTGAAACTCTCGATATGCATGTAAAAAATTGCTACCGTAAAAATTCGAAAAATCGTGGATTGTCCGATATCCTGTTGTCTGTAGCGAAAGGTTAATAATGCCACGATCTCGTAAACGAATCACACTTATGGAATCCGTGTCAATCAGCTTCACGGCGTTTGTTCGCATGTGTTCTCGGACGTGCCGTGAGCGATGCCGTGTTCTGCTGCATGCACCGCCGAAGGTCGTCGTAATTTAGCATATAATAGACGAATGATCTGGGAAAAGGACGAGATGGAAGAAGAGAAACGGGACGGGGGGGAGGAAGGGGGACGTAATAGGGAAAAAGACGGTTGGAAGAAGGCACGGTTGACTCTAAGGACCGCGATGCGACGAGAGAGGGAGAATCGGCTCTCCTCTCCGTGTATCTCGTCGTTGTGCGTTATGGCACAACGAGGGGGAAATACCGAGGTAGGTACCTGGTACCCCCTCGGGCCGGTTCCCATATCTTCCACGGCGATAATATATAATAACGACGGCCTCATGGAGCCTGTGGGCGATCTGACTTCAGCGAGGAAGAGAGAAGACACCGCGGGGTAGATACAAAGATATACACATATATACATATATGGAGACTCTCTCTCTCTCTCTCTCTCTCTCTCTCTCTCTCTCTCTCTCTCTCTCTCTCTCTCTTATTTTCTCTTTTCATCCTTCGCCCTTTTTCTTTCTCCTTCCTCATGATCTCGCTTTCTATCGACTTCCCACTGATACTTTGGTGTAAGAGGATAGAGAGAGAATCGCTGTCAGAACGGGGAAATGAAAATCGCTGGATTTTACCTCAAAGCGTGCGCGAAATTTTATACGGTATAGTTAATTTTCTATAGAATATCGAAGCGAGTTATTGTAAGGGAAACTTCACTCTTCCTCGGTGAACAAATCCCTTCTCTTTCTTCGCTGCAATTGCCGCGGGTAAATTAAAATTCACACTGTAATTTCGGCCAGTGAAGACGTGAAAATGGTATACTCTCTATTTAAATGAATATTATTATTCATTAAATGAATATCTCTTTTTTTCTTTCATCTGTTATGTGAGAGATATTTTCCGAACATTTTTTTGTATTAGATTGAAACATTTTAAGTGCAATAATGAACGTTATAAAAAATTCTTAAGAAGAGTCGAGACAATAAAAAATATCAATTTATATAAACTTCTCTCTCTATATCGAATTAATTTTACTTTCAATTTTCCAAATCCTTATACTTTGTGTTTTATTTTCTCAAGAAAGATGTAACAAGTATGCTCATAAAAATGGAAACGGACGAAATAACTTGCATTAAGAAATAGAAAACAAGAGAGAGAAAGTGCGAAAGTGATACCGTTGAGAGAAGCGAGAACGAGATATGCGCTCGTAGGCCAAGGGCCATCGTTGTTTGTGAAGGTCTGAACGACTGTGAAGAGGGGTGATAGCGGGGGAGGAAACGGTACCGGGGGCGGAGGACGAGCACCGTGATTACCCGCGGCGATTTCTTGGGCCCACCGACCAACCGAGGTCCGATCCCGGGTCAGATCCGTTCGCTATGGGAAAACGCTAAACGATCGGCTCACATCACTCAGATTCCGCTCTGCTTTCGACGTATACAGGATATGTTCGAAGTCGTCTGCATTTTACATAGTTATTCCTCGACAAATTTCAAATTGACTTTTCCTCAAAGATTCGTCGCGAGATTTAATTTTGAAGACTTATTAAACTACGGTAAATTAATACGTAAAGCTACAGAAAAATAACAAGATATATTTCTAAGATATATTTAATAAAATATATATGAATTTTATTTTAACAAAATTTTAATGTGATATATGAAGATTCTTAATTGACAATTAAGAATTTCGATTTACAAATAAAATATTTATCTTTGTTTTCGCTTAATTACCTGAGCTTTTTTTATTGACTAAAAAGATTGTTGCATGTAGAAGCGTTTTCACCAGTCTGAAATCTTGCGCGATAAATTGTATTTTATGAACGAAAATCAGGATAAGCGAATGCGCTCATGTGTGCCATGCTGACGCATATGCGCGGAGATACGTGCGAGCTCGAGAACGAGACGGGCATCCGCCGAGACATTCCGTTATATCCCACTAAATTGCACGTGTCCGACTAGAGGGCGAGGAAATGACGACTTGGTACTCCACCATGGGATACCCTCGAGGCCTTGTACAGCCTTCTCAACCGGCAGGATGATCGACGATGTTTTAGGGATTATGTGATACCGGAAGCGTGGACTAATGATCGGCTATTACGTCATTCCTGTAAACGCTTGGTAGAAAATGCGATACGCAACGATTAATCTTTCGCAAGGCACGTGGAGTTCGCCTTAGGTCGATATGATTGCATTACGAACTAAGGATTGTACATGATGATATAAAAAAGTAATTATCATGGATTTCATAATTGAAATTCAATTAGTGTAGAAAGTAATTCATTCAGAAATCATCATAATGTTATACTTAAATTTAAATAATATATGTTTATTTTTGTGTGATAAAGTAAAATTTTCAAAGGAGAACTTAGAAAGATTGCAATGTTGAGAATAATATTTTATCAGTCAATTACTCAATTTTAAATTGTTCTTTAAATAATTATTGGCGAATGTGTTTTGTTAAAATATTATTTCAATTGCGGGATGATTGCTTTAAAACGTAATTTACTATGATTTAACTTAAACAACTGACAGACTTAAGCGACAAACTCAAGCAACACAGTTACGTTCAAAATATGTTTAATAAACGTTAGAAATTGTGTAATAAACGTATAAACTGAAAAATGAATGTTTGAAATTTGATACATTTTTAAACTATTTAATATACGTTAGTAAAACGTTTATAAGATATTTGTAACGTCTATTAAATGTTTTTTACTAATTTAAAATACTATTTTTATGAGACATTACGGTTTAATAAACGTATATTTAACGTTAATAATGTCCATTTAACATTTTTATACAGCATAAAACTGTTTCGGCTAAATGTTTTTTAAACTTAAATTGTCTGCTTGGAAAAGTAATAATGTAAGAAAATGATATAATCACAGCATATATATATATATATATATATAGAACCAAAATAGCGTTAATAAATTTTGCATTACGCGTGTAATATACAGTGCCAGAATTGCTTTTTCTATTTCGAAAATGATATACATATTTTTATATATTAAGTAAAAAACAAATTAATGAATATCGCGTTTTCGGTATACAAACTTGCGGTTATCGCATAAATAGACATT